GATATCTGCACTTCCGTGTTCAGTGCAACATTTTTCACAGTAGTTAAGATATCGAAACAGCCTAAGTACCTAAGTGTCCATTGATGGATGAATGGATAAAAAACTCAGTGGTTGGGTGAAGAAAAATAAGAACACATGGACACAGGGAAGGGAGTACTACACACTGGGGTCTATTGGGGGGAGTAGGGGAGGGACAGCGGTGGGGGGGCGGAGCTGGGGAGGGATAGCCTGGGGAGAAATGCCAAATGTGGGTGAAGGGGAGGAAGGCAGCAAAACACACTGTCATGTGTGTACCTATGCAACTATCTTGCATGTTCTGTATATGTACCCCAAAACCTAAAATGCAATTAAAAAAAAAACTCAGTTGTGGCACCATGATTAATGCTAATACATACATACACAGGAATGTTATTTAACCTTAAAGAAAAGTAGAAAACCTAAACATTGTGACATCATGGATGGACATGAAAGGATATTATGTTAAGAGAAATAAGTTAGTCAGCAGAAGGATAAATACTATATGATCTCACATACATGTGGAATCTAAAACGGTCAAACTCACAGAAGCAGAATAAAAGGTTGGCTGTCAAAGGATAGAGGAAAAGGAAATTGGGGAAGGACTGGACAAAAGGTCTAAAGTTTCAATTTTGCAAGATAAAAAATTTCTGGATATCTCGTGTAGAGCATAGGGCCTATGATTAATAATACTGTATTGTATACTTTAAAATGTGTTAAGAAGATAAATCTTATGTTAAATGCTTTTACCACAAAAAGAAAAAACAAAACAATTGAAGGAGCGGGAGAAAACTCTGGGACGTTGTTGATAGAATTATAGCATTAAGATGTACCTTAAATATGTACAGCTTTTTGAACATCAATCATCTCTTAGTAAAACATTTTTAAAATAAATAAGCAAAATAATTTTTCTGTATATTTCACAATAAATTACTCATTTAGATATTCTGAAAAGTCAAAACTGTCTAAAAAATGTACAAAAATAAATACAATTTCACATTTTTAGAACATGAGGCTCAGGAGATTACCAATGAAATATGATTCAGAGTCTTGTGAGCTATAAAGGAGAGTATGAATTTTAATTTGCTGCATTGGAAATAAAGGGCTTTGGGAATAGAAGCGGCATGGTTTTATTTACTTATAACAACTTAATTTTACAATGGAGCATTAATTACATCAACAGGAGAAACAACTAGGAAACTGTTGCTGAGATTCATGTATGAAATTGTGCAGCCTAGACAAGCAAATGGAAATAAATTATTGTATATTTCTCCTACTATTCAAAACGGAGAGTCACCTAATCAACTAATAACATGTCATGATTATTCTAGTGTTCTCAGTAGGTCAATCTCTACGTGAAGGTTCCCTAGGCTCACATATTCAGTAACAATATGTAAGCCTGCCATAGGGCCGATGTTCTGCACTAGATTTATATTAAATAAGCAACTTTCTGACTGACTTCAACTTTAAATTAAAACTTTCTTTCAATCTTAGGGAGTGTTAATTCAAAGATGTCAATATTGCAATTATGTCAGAAGTAACATTACTTTTGGTAAGTGTTTACACTGGCATTTTGATCTGCAAAACAGCTTTTGATGAGATGCTTCGAATGATTCAATGCTACCGAATCTGATCAACTCGCAGTAAACTAGTACTAATTATATATTACATTGACTTAAAGAGCCAATGGGGCTTTTATTAAATAGAAAACCATCTCAACAACGTGTGTGAAATATTATAGGTTTTAGATCATTGGTAGTAACAGCTGAGCATATGAAAAATGCTAACTAAATAAAAGAAGCATCTTTATCATTTTACTGGAATTTTTCTTTCTGCAGCTTAGGCAATGTGAATATATTTTGAAAAATACAATAAGTATGCCCTTAAAAATAGCTCCATGGTAATGAAAAAAATAGACAAACCCTCAAGTTCAAGTTTTATATCTTCAGCTTACTGTATTTGTGGATATCCAGTAAACTTCAGCTTACTGGATTTGTAACCATCACTTAACCATGTGGGGCTACAATAGCTTTTTCTTTAAAAGTAGGTATTAAGCATGATGAAGATTATTATCACATTTGGCTCTGAAGTCCCCTGTCCTATATAATGTGAAATAGAATTCATTGGTGCAAGAAAGCAATAATAAAGTCCACAAAGGGAAAAGCTGGGATTTGGTCATGTCAGAGTCAAGCTTAGTTGTATATGAATGGACTGGTCTTCAGCCACAGAAGGTTCCCCTTGCCCCAGAAACATATTCATTCACCTACCCATTCAATCAGGACTATTATTCTGAAAAGAGTAAGATTTACAAGATATCTACCAAAAATATGTAGATGCATAAAATTCAGTTTAACCTGGTAGAAATTAAAACAAACAATATAAATAATCCATCAACAAAAATACACTGGAAACTTAAAGGTCAAATGTTAACAGAAAGAAACAAAGCACCACAGTCAACTCCTTAATTTCTAATTAACCTAATTAGTCCAGTTCTCAATGCACTGTAACAAATTCATTCATTTACTAATAGAAAAAAATACATATTATTTCCAATATGATAATTAATACATCCAACAAATATTGATGTACTGTATGCTAAGTGCTGTGCTAAATAGTGGCCATTGTCCTCACTCTAGTGAATAACTCAAACAAATAAATGAGGAGGATGATAACAGAGAGCAATAAGTAATTTGAAGAAACTAATTATGGTTTTATGAAAAATGAGTATTATGAGGATTCCAGCCATTCTCTCACATGACCTTTAAATCAAACAAATTAGATTCCTACTAATTTTATAAAGTATAATATTTCTAGGTTTTATGTGAATGACGATAAGATGAAATGGTTAAAATTATTCTGCCTTTTTTTATTATTACACTTTAAGTTCTGGGGTACATGTGCTGATCTTGCAGGATTGTTATATAGGTACACACATGCCGCGGTGGTTTGCTGCCTCCATCCCCCATCACCTACTATCCTGCCTTTTAAGCTATTGTGTAATTTAATTTTCCAGATTACTGTAAAGAGAGTTTTAATATTATCCATAAATTTAGTGACTTAAATATATATTAGTTGTCTCCTTCAAGCCACAGAATAAATCTGCAATGTCATTTAATCTAATTTTCTCAATCAAAATACTTTAAAAAGATATATTTGCCTGGGCACGGTGGCTCAGACCTGTAATCACAGCCCTCTGGGAGGTCGAGGCTGGCAGATCACGAGGACAGGAGATCAAGACCATTCTAGCCAACATGGTGAAATCCCGTCTCTATTAAAAATGCAAAAAATTAGCTAGGCGTAGTGGTGCATGCCTGTAGTCCCAGCTACTTGGGAGGCTGAGGCAGGAGAATCTCGTGAACCCGGGAGGTGGAGGTTGCAGGGAGCCAAGATGGGCCAGTGCACTCCAGCCTGGTGACAGAGCAAGATTCCATCCCAAAAAACAAACAAACAATATATATATATATTATTACATAATATATATTATTACATAATATATATTATATATATAATATATATATTTTAAAAGATATTTTTAAAAGAACATAGCTTTTCTAAAAGTACCTAATTAGTGATTAAGCCAGACAAGGAATCCACATATTCTTGAAATCAAGTTTTGGAGTTTTTTTCTCCGTATGTTTTTAAACAATTATTACTGCTGTTCAAAGAATGACCAACTAAAAAGCTTTTGTGGTTAGTGAAATTTCAAAAGATTCATTGTGAATAATTAAGTTAATCAAAATGGTATGGATCTTCTCCAGGTACACATACTCCTGGGAAGAATAAATGATATTCCTTAGGAGACTTCTGGAAGTTTATGATTTAAATCAGAAAACCACTATGTGAAAAGAGACAAATATAATAAGAACATATAAAAATAAATCCAGGTAACTATTGTCACTGAATGTAAATAAAGCTTTTTTACTAAAGTGTAGAGAGAGAGATTTTTCATATGAGAGGGTTGAAGATGGTGACTTACGCTCTTCCAGTTAAACAGAAAGTTACAGGAACAACTAATGTGTCAATAACCTTTGTAATTTAATTAAGAATAAACTTTGTGAAAAGATGAGGAATCATTTTTGAGGTGTAACTTAGTCATTGGAAAAGGTAAGAGATGAAAGTAGGGCTTTCAGAATAAATATCTGAGAAAGTTTAGGGGAAAAGCTAAGATTCAAGGAGTGAACATTTTGATCCTGGCTGATAGTAAATAAAAGCCACTATAAAGATTAAAGAAGTTTTAATTTTTAAAAAATTCTATTACTTTGAAATACATAACACAACACACACTTTTCTTTTCCAGTCTTCCATCCAAGACCCAAAGTAAATACATGTGGGAGGGAAGGGAAAGAGGGACAGAGGAGAGGGGGGAAAAGATTGGAGAAAGAGAAGGACAGAAAAGCTGACATGGTGGAGAAAAGATGTACTTTATGGTACCATGTGACGTAGCTGTCCTTCTCACTTAAACTTACTGTGAAGAAGTAAAACAGGAAAAACAAACAAACAAACAAACAAATGGTGAGAAGGCTTGCGTCTGTAGTAGCCATCTCTTTAGACTTCACACCTTCATCGTCTTAGAACCCTTACTATTACTGAAGGGGACTCAGCGCTTCCTAGCCAGAAGCTGGCCGGGCTACAGAGGATTCTAGAAGCAGCTTGTTCCTCCGTTCCACGGGCGTTCGTGCACCACATTGCCTTCTCTTCCCCACACCTCCGCCAGGGTCTGGGTTTACTGTTGACGCTTGCATTTCGGTGTAGGGTCTAAGAGACAGTGTCACATCCGAAAAGACCTGGAGTGTGCCTTTTCCCGGAAGAGAATACTAGTTCGTCCCTCCCGCGGGGTTATACTACCTAATCCACAAAACCGTGACTTTTCCCTGTGGCTTTTTCCGCCCACCTCGCTCCAGTTGCCTGTTGGTTTGCTTGGATTTTGTTAAATGGTGAAGGGCTAAGCCCCGCCCACCGTCGTAAGTGGCCTGTCACTCCGTCCCGCTGTGCGGTCCTGATTGGCCGGCAGGACGGGGTCGCCGGCCCCGCCCCCGCTTCCCTAGCCGCGCTCAGGGTCTCGGGTTTTAGCCCAAGGTGGAGAGCGGGATTCCGGCGGGAGGCGCTAGGAGCAGGTGCAGAGGCATCCTTTTTCCGGCTGTTGCTGCTCTTCTTCCTCTAATCCTGGGTCTCAGTCAAGAAAGGACGAACATTCTTCCTGTGCTGCTGGAGCTTTAGAGAACTGTTGCTCAGAGCCTAGGCACTTCAGACATTTCATCTCACTCGTTTTTGTGATTTCACTGTAAAAATCACCTGCACATTTATAACCCTGTGACTCTCTTCTGCTCTATGCTGAGGCCGGGTCCGCGTACTGCGGGGAGCTGTCTAGGGTGCTGAAGCCTCCCAAGCATTTGTCTACACCAACACCACGCGGGGTTAGATTGCACATTTTCATTCTGTCTTTCTGGTTCCCCATGCCTTGGATAAGACTATTTTCAGGACCGTGAATATCTCGCCGTATCATGGCCCACGTGAGACACTTTCGGACATTAGTTTCGGGATTTTACTTCTGGGAAGCAGCATTGTTACTCAGGTGAGTCCGCTTGGATTTAACAGTTGGAGAACTCATTAAGCCTGTGCGTTGTTGCAACCACTTGTTATTGATGAAACAGGGAAATTTGCAATTCTGTATTGACTTGTTGAAACAATCCATTTACTCGTATTGTTTTCTATCTAAATTATCTAGCAGTCTATCTATTGAGACTTAGTCATTTGCTTTTTCATTGATTAGAGCATTTTAGTAACTGGCATCCTACGTTATTTGCAGCTGAGAAAAAAAAATTCAGAAGCCTACGTTTTCCTTCTCAAATTTCTTTCAAAGTTTTCCTTTTCTAAGTGAATTATGTAATTTGGGTATTGCTGTCTTTCTGAAAGTTACAAAACATTTAGTATTTAGAAATGAGATATTACTTTTTTAAAAGCAGAAATGTAGACCATAGTCATTCACTGATGAGAGAAACTCGAACATTGTTGATATATTCAGAGGTAAGTTAAATGAATCAAAATAAAGGCCTAGCAAATACTATTTTCTAATGACCTAGTTCAGGTAATACATGAAGGCAAAATCATAAATAGATTATTAGATCTGTTCTATGTAAGGAATACTCTTGAAGAAAGTAATATTATAACAAAGCCATTAAACTATAAAATTGTTCTATGACATGTCATTTTCTTATCACGATCCTGTCACATTTGGCAGGCTTTTAAAAAAATAATTTAAAGAGTTTAAGAGAACTAGGCAAAGGATCAGATAATGTTACCCCTGTTATTAACGTGTAGAAATAAGGTACTGCTCATATAGAATTTTGACCCACCAAAATAAATTTAATTTTACTGATACAATTAATTGCCATAGGATTTCCATTTTTATGGCTTGCAAGGTTTTTGAAGGAGTATTTAAGTCAAATAACTAGAGTAACTAAGTTATATGTATACTGATTTCTACTTGAAGTATGTAAATATCCTTCATTGCTATGTTGAATTTTTAATCTTTGGGCTACCATTAAGAAATCCAATAGTGTCTCTCAAACAACCTTATAGAAAGTTATATTATTTTGATCTTCCTATATTTAATAGTAACTAATTGTGATAGTTATTTCTGAAATTACTGATTTTTTCCCAAGAAGTTGAGCCATTTTTCTTCAAAGTATTTTCAATGAAAAACATTTTAATATGATTTAGTAAATTTGTGTAACTTCATAGTTGTCATAAATTTTATTTGTAATAATTAAAACTATGTGGAGCTTTTATATTTATGAAATTTTTATGTTAAGAAGTACAAACTTTATTTGAAAATTTGAATTAATCATTTTCCTATAATATATTTCTTAATGTCATAGATGGTAAAAGGCTTTTTTTTTTCTTTTTTTTTAAAGAAATCACATTAGCTTAGTTGGTGGATACTTAGATTTAGGAAGCCAAGTCAGAAACCAAAATGTTTTGTTCAATGAGGTTAAATTTGTATAATAGCAATTCACTATGATATTTGTTAAAATATATTCTGAGAAAATCTTCATCATTAGATCCTCTGATTTTTGTTCAATTTTGTTAAAAGTTATGAAAAGCTATTTCAAATGGATGATTGTGATTATAAGAATTTATCTTCATTAATGTTAAATAATTTTAGTTAGTAATAAATTTTTTGAGTAACCCAAAAATGTAAATCTTTGAGAAGATATACAACATGCAAAAGTTTACTTCTTACTTATATTCTTCATCAAGTTTTTCTTCCTCCTTTCATAAAACACATAAATTTTTTCTCTATCTGTAACTAGTCTTAGATGAGAGTAGTTCATCACTCTATGAAGAACTTTAATCATATTTTTAAAAAATTAAGCATTTTCACTTTTTAGTGATGATCCTCAAAGGAAGATTTCCTATAGAAAAAAAAAAAGGAAGCTCCCTCTGCTGGAAATATTTTGTACAATAAATGTCTTCTTGGGAATGATTCTTTATTTTCTAATTCTAGTCCTGATGTATTGAGCACAAAGGAAACAGGAAAAAAGATATAGACAAAAAAATATTGGCATTAATTCCTAATATATTTTTAAATTTGAAAACAGCTTATCAGGGCAATTTGGAGGCAAGAACAGCAACCAGAAACCACCGATATTTACAACTAAATAATTTACTGGTACAGACTTTTTATTTCATAGGTTTTAAAGATTTTTAAAAAGTTTTATTGAGATACAACATACACAGACAAAAGTGCACAAATAATACATCTCCCTCTAGATAAAGTTTTACAAAGGGAAAACACCCAAGTGAAGATACCACAGTTCAACAAGTAGAAGTGTGACTGTCACAGAAGCACTCACTCCACTGTCTTCCTCCACCATAATCCTTTCCAAGGCACTGCCTTGGTCAAAGGTAATCACTCTCCTAACTTACATAAAAAAATATGTTTTTTTCCATTTTAGAACTTTATATAAATACTCCGAGTCTGCTTTATTTTTATAAGCATCATGTTTATATGATTTATCCATACTGTTGCATGTAGCAATAGCTTATTCATTCTCATTGCTGTATGATATGCCATTATATGAATACATCATAATTAACTTATCTATTGTCCTGTGGATTTGGCAATTTCTTTGGTTTTGTTTAGTACTGTTATAAATATTTTTGCACATCTTTTGTTGTGAATACATGGATGCATTTTGGATCATTAAGTTGAGGTCCAAGACTTTCTTTAGAAAAGGAATTGCTAAATGTAGAATAGGAATGAATATGTTTAACTTTAGTAGACACTGCCAGTTTTCCAAAGTTGTTGTACATTTTAACACTTCCATCAGCAATGTATGGGAGTTTCTGTTGCTTACTAGTACACAATTTGATCACTGTAATGTTATACTATACAATTTTTAGCATTTCTAGCATATTTTTACAATCCTACAGATGATACCTTAGTACTTTTATGTTTTAAAAAGCACTAAAATTATCATCTTTGTTTAGTAAATAAGCATTATAAGATGAAAGCAGCAGAACAAAAATATTTACAAAATATTTACAAAAAAGTTTTTAAAACTTTCATACTTGGTTTGGGTATTGCTATTTTATGAAAATTCTTCTATGGCTTTTGTGTTTTAATTATCATATTAATAAAATAAAGAACAAAATGTCAGTGTTCAGCTTTCTTTGAAATGCAGATAAGTGATTATATTATGAAGAGCTTGCAGAATAAATTCCAAAAGCAGGGAAACAGCCAAAAATATTTCATTTAATTTGATTACTTTCTCGACATACCATTTAATTTTTTATCTTTACAAGTTGATATCAACATGTAATTGCTACTTGAATAAAGTAGGGCACATTGTGTCGAAACTGAATGTGTGCATTTCAGATGTCATAATAATAAAAAATATAATATTTTCTTGGTTAACTTCAAAGCCTAAGTAAAACATTTCAGTATAGAACTTACTGGTTTTGCTTTTGGTATGTTTTGGAGGATGAGAGGAATCCTTTTTAATGTTGTCTCTATTTTTCTATGTAAGATATTGAAGAAAACTATATTTCTAGGAATAAACTTTTACTATTATTATGACTTACTACATGCAGATGTAGCAAGATTCTATATGGTTTTAAAAATATTTGCTATATATAACATAATTCTTCCCTTTTTGCCTGAAAATAACAATAAATTGTTTCACGTATTGAAGAATCATTGTCCAGTCAACACTTCAAGCTGTTTGCCCTGCTGATTTAGAGAGAAGCCTAAAAAATATTTCCTCTTCAAAACACACTGCCATGTGTGTACCTATGCAACTGTCTTGCATGTTCTGCACATGTATCCCAAAACCTAAAATGCAATAAAAAATTTAAAAAAAATATTTCCTCTTCTATATAGTTTTTCTTTCCTTAACCACACAACTGTGTACTGTGGCAAGTCAAACAGCAATTATGTGTTTACTGTATAAGGATAAGCAATTGAACAAGATTTAGTCACGAAATTCTGTGCACAAAATTTTGTGCTAGTACAGTTTAGCTATGGATGATTGAACAAATATCACCTTTTCCATTTCAAAACTTAGAGTCTAGAAGAAACTGAAAAGAGCCAAACCAACAAAAGAAAAACGTAAAGATAGCAAGAGTTTAGGGATTGTAAGGACGGGAAACTATCAAGATGCCTTGGTACTTGTGTTGGGCTTTGTAAGATGGGGCAAAATGATATACAATGAGAATTACTATGCAAAAGGAATGATACAGGTATACAGTATGTGATTCGGAAATGGTGACTGTCAAATTTGGTTGAAGAAATTACAGTTTATGATTTAAAACTATATTGTAGTAGCAACAACTATGAAGCTAGTTTCATTAATACAACTACAAAAATATGGAGGAGCCACAGCATCACCTCATGATGGAATATGGCTAAAATTTAGAAACAAATAATTTAATTCTAACTGAGTAGTTATTATTGCAGGAATAGTTTTATAACTTGACTCAAAATATCTCTATTAGTTCTTATCCTTCAGAGGTGGTGTTTACCTAAAAATTACAATTAGTCATAGGATTGGTAGTAGTAATTATTTAAGAGCTGTGTAAAGAAACAATGACACAACTACTAGAATAAAAATTTTATCCAATTGTTTTAGAGCTTGGAGACCATATGAGAATGTTTCTTCAAAATGTAATTTCATAAAAGAAATAGTGAAATCTAGTAGAAGATTTTGCTAATTGGAGGAAGAAGACATTGAATTTGGTTTGAGATATTTTCAGGTTAAGATGCTTACAGAAGAGCTAGGTTTCCTGCCATCAGCTAGGAATGCAGATAGTTGCATAGATTTAAATGCCAGATGATAGCTTTACAAAAGGTTATAAAGGTGAGTGTACTGTGGTGCAAAGAAGGAATGGAAAATACATTTGTTGAGGATGAGGATAGAACACTTGGAGCAGGACATGGAGAAGTACTCAGAGATCCCTGAGCTCAGCTGAGGAGATGAGGCTTATCAGAAGCAAGTGATGAAGTTGCATATTATATCATAGTTTTATGCTATTTATCCCAAGGACCAGTTCTTATTATCACCCTATACT